GGACATTAAATTCTGCATGGAAATCCAGGGAATCGCAAGGGCACTCCCACTTCCCCTTCTGATTTTCCTTTCCTGCAGCCTTTTGGCTTCTGACCAGATCCGTAGAGCAAACACCCCCCCAACCCAGGCATACCTACATACGAGTGCGTGCTAATCCTGTTCCTGTCGGAACACCGCCAGGACCAGGATCAGGACCAGGACCTACGTGGACATTGTAATTGACAAACTGCCGAGGGTTGTTCGGGCGCCTGCTACCCAGAGCAGGAGAGGGGGCGACTACTGAGCGATTCTTGCAGCAGGAGCAGATGTTTTTCGCGGCAGGACGATGATGACGATGACGATGAGGATGATGACGATCAGGATGATGAGGATGACGTTGGCGATCAGCGACCCCAGCACGGGGCACAAAACAAGGACCTTAAGAACAACAACAAATGAGCGCGAGCGGGAAAGGAAGATAGAGACAGAACTAGGGGAGAGCTAAGGTGGGGGAGATCCTTGAGCCTCGTTCCAAACCGGTCGCTGTATTATGGCCAAAAACTCCGAGCACAGAGAGAATTTTTCACTTAAAACTGATAATAAATAATATATTTTAGGTAATTATTAGGAATTGTATAATTCTGTGAGTTCACAATATTTAGAAATTTCTTCCAGCACGCTGTGAATTCGAAATCTCTCTAAGTGAGGTCCAAAGGTATGCTACAAAAAGTCAGATACTCAGTCCACAGGATACCACCATCCTTCTCTAGGTAATTTTATAACACCAGCAGCGAAAAAGTTTAAATTCGGCAATTTTGAATGGTGTTTTATTAAAAAAGTTACCGCTTTTATGCACATATTCGCCTGCAGCGTTATATGCCCAGATTGGATCAGGATCAGGATCGGGAGCAGGATCTGCTGTCAAAGCTGAGCGAGAGAGAGAGTGAGTGAGCGAGGGTGAGAGTAATTTATAGTTGCTTGTCAACCCCCGAAAAGCGCGCCAAGGGGCCCAGCTCTCGATGCCAGGTCCCTATATAGTATGCACATATGTATGTACATATATACTCGTCCTGCCAGAGTCCTGTTTCCAGGTAGAGCACGATCCCCTATGTGCAGGCACAATGGCATAGTACATTATGTACAGGACGAGGCACGTGCGCACGATCCAACGCACCCCAACGCTGGAAGCATTTCCAACTATTTTACAGCTGCGTCCGACTTTTTAGGAAAATGCACAGTTTTCACAATGTAATGGAATCGAAACCGCAACTGAAACACACTTTTGGCACATGCCAAACATCATAAATCAAGAGATCCATCCACACACTTTACATACAACTTAAATTAAATTAAATATATCCCATTGGGATAATTGTTAACTGCTTGCAGATCTAGCTGATGATTGCTTCCACAAAAATTATTAAATAAATGAATCCGATATTCCTCGCTTATTTATATTCCCCAGAATTTCGCCACCTTTCGTTTTGCTTCCATTAGTATCCTCGCCAAGAGTGATCCTTTCACTTATCCCCCGTGAGCTGCTACTGCCTGATCGCTGAAGTTATTTCGAGGACTTCCACAGCAAGAGGTCCTTTCGCCTTCAAGTTTCCGCCGCGCCACTCATAAATCCGAGGATGAAAAATACATAAAATATATGAATGGAGGAAAAACAAGAACAGAAACGATTTACGAGCGCACAACTGCGCACAGATGTCGCACGAAGGAAGACAGGATCCTGACGACGGATCGGGGCACTTGAGTCGACGACAAGTACACAGGACTCGGGACTCAGGACTCAGGATTCAGGACTCAGGACCCCTACTCAGTCAATCGGCGCCTGCCCCCGGTTACAGGGGAAATATGAAAAGGAAAAGCCAAGCCAAAGTCAAACTCTGGAAGAACGGCTGATTGATTTACGAGCAAGAAGAGAATGTAAGGTTCCCAGGTTCCCGGCAGGACTCCTGTTTGCTCATCGCTTTCACTCCCATTTCAAATTTCACTCATCATCTATATTCATATTTATACCCTTGCAGGGTATGTTAACTTTGAGTCAGAAGAGTCTGAGATATTTCCTACTATATAAAGTATATAAGTTGTTGATCAGCATCAACAACCTTCGTCTGTCCTTCTGTTCGTTTCTTCTGTATACTCTCACAAGTACAAGTTTTTAAAATATATAACATACAATTTATATTGTAGTAATTATTAGTGGTCTTATAGCAATCTTCAAGGGTATACAAACTTCGGCATCCTTTCTCGTTTTCCCTTCATATTTTCTCGTTCCCATTGAAATCGATGCGTTCTGGAAATGCAAATAAATCGGGGGAAACCATTGAAGCGATGCCAATCCCAAGATAGAAGGAAATTAGTTTTTGTTTGCCCAAATTGTTTTATTTTCTCAGACCGCCGCCAGAGATGAAAGTCAGAAGAAAGTAGAGGGAGAAAAGGACAAAAGAAAGCCAAGATTTGAACACAGGAAGTTGGCCAAGCCAAAGGCACATATATCCTGAAGGGAGGCTAAAGATGCCAGGAGCTTTAAATCAAATTAAGAAAGTGTTTTCTTCGTACACAATTTAACACCTAAATTCCAACTCTGAGAACTTTAATAACTTGACAGATTCTTCTATATACATCTATGTATATAATTTGTATATACTTTATTTCTTCCTATATATGTACTATGTGCTTGTGAGAGAACAAGGGAATTATCCGCGATCCGAGTTCCAAAAGAGAGCTGCATTCAACACACTTTCAACCCCCTGATGGAATCAGAGAAATTATAATTCCATCGGGGGTTGCCTTAGGGTTCCAAAAAAGTATTATTATTATTATGATTATACAGTTTTTAATTATTATAATTTTTAATTACTAAAACATCCAGAGTTTTGGGCTGCACAAAGGTTGGTGGTGTTAATATTCCATTTATTTAAAAATTTCAACACTGTATAGTGAATTTTCCCTCAGAAATAATTGTTTAAACCTCTGGTAAATAATTTTAGTAATAAACACGAAAGGAAAATAACATTGGGAAGCCGAAGTAGATATACCCTTGCAGTTTGTAATTTAATTATAGGATAACTTAAAGTAATCGCATTCTTTCAATCAATATTTATAGATATTTTTATATGACTATTTTCACGAGAAATTAAAGATTTAAAAAACTTATAACTAAGCCAAAAATTAATTAATTTCGATTCGGAAAGCTGTTCTGTGCTAGTTTTTAATAGGTTAATAAGTCTTCATACCTTTCTGAATTTTTTATTTTATTCAAATTTTTATCAGTTTTTAAACATTTTAACGATGTAACCCCTTACATTTTTTTCAAAAAATGACCAAAATTTTGATTCTCTCTTTAATACCCAGAAAGATTCGCCTGTTGATGCTGATCAAGAATATATATGCTTCATATGGTCGGAAATGACTTCTTCACAGTGTTTTGAGCTTTTGACGAAAATTAGAATACCCTGAAAGGCTAAATAATTTTGGAAATTAATTCAGGATTGCATCTTTTTGTCACATTCTAGACTAAATTATCGGAAGTCTCGCCGTGCCGTGTAGGGCGTGTCAAGTCGTTGCGAGTCGCATCGTCAAAGTGGGACGCAACCGAGTCAAAGTCTCGAGGACAACAAAGGACTCGCAGTGGTAGTACTCACAGCTCACAACGCAGAACTCAGAACTCACAACTGTTGACTCCTTTTCTCGACGAGCAGGGAGCAGATCCTCGGGGATCGAAAGAAACCGGTAGTCGGTAGTCCTCGTTTCCTTGAACCTTTCAAGTGGACTCAAGTTTATAAATTGTGCAGCAAGTACACACAAAGGCGACTCCGTTCGCAGTATGTGCGCCGAAAAAGGGCTCGGACTGGAGCTGGGACTCAGCCTCAGGTCTGGTGGAAACTACCTGAAGGGCTGAGTCCAAAAACTTTATTGTGGCAACGAAACAAGTTTTCACACAGCCTCGTTTTCAGACTGCCAAGCTTAAAACAACTAGGAAGGAGTCTAGGTAAAAATACTTTCCCACACCAGCTCCTTGAGGATCCTTTTCTCGCTCTCCGTCGGAGGCTGCAGTTTCTCACCCCTGGCATCTTGTCAATTTTAATTAGGATTTATGGCCGAACAAATTCCAAAGGATCATCGGTTCTCGCCTTTAATTCCCTTAATTAGCTCGACAATTGGCAAATGATTTTGCACAAAGCCGAGGCCTTGATTGTTTTCGATTGGATTGGGAAAGGAGGAAAAGCCCTCATGTATGTCTAGGAAATGCCACAGGACATGGGCTAGATGGTCCTCGGTAATCATAGATAGTTCTGGATACCAACTGGGAACTGATAAAGGATTAATTGAGGGAGCTACCAGAGACAACCTTTTTTGGAATTTTCATCCTTAGAGCATAGACCTTCAAGGCCGTGTGTGGGAATCCAAGGTGCTGGCTGCCCCTGCCTCGGGTACTCAGGTATTCAAGGTATTCAGGTACCAGGGCTGCCAAAGCTCCCTCTGCTCTCACCTCATATTATGCACACGTATGTATAAGGAGGGGCGGTATATAAACACAGGGACATATAAATAAAGTCCATGTACAGCGACAGGGAGAGAGAGACTGAGACCGAGACACATTCCACCCTTATGCCAATCGATCAGATGTTAGTTTTCCCAAAAGCCGCACTTCCAAACTGAGGTGTGTGTGCTGTGTGTGTGAGTGCGTGCGAGCGAGTGAGTGTGATCCCCGGGAAGGATCGCAGGGAAGGACACCCCAGTCTAGGGGATGAAAAGTCAGCGAGCGAACGTTTTACATAAGGACGCAGGCGGCAGGACCTTCAGCAGTCAGCGAAGTCACTTCCGTTGAGCCATCGAGTCCATCGAGTCAGCCGCAGTTCGAGTTCGGAGTTCGGGGCACGCGACACACAACGCCAGCAGCTGTCCTGAAGCAAGGACTTTGGAAGCCAGTCAGTCCCAACAACCATCGCTCAGCCAGATAAGTCACAGGAGCCAACGGAGCCAAAGGAAACCAGAAGCGTCGAGTTACCATGGCCGCCTTGCCCTCGCCGCCCACCAATGCAGATGCCGAAGCCCATGCCAATGCCAGTGAGAGCAAGGAGAACCCCCAAGGACAGGGACCAGGACTCAAGGCCACTCTCAAGCCCTTCGGCAAGATCACCGTGCACAATGTCCTCAGCGAGAGCGGTGCCAATGCCCTGCAGCAACACATTGCCAATCAGAACACGATCATCCGCAAGATCCGTGACTTTGGCATGCTCGGAGCTGTCCAGAGTGCGGCGGCGGCCCAAGCGCAGGCAGCGTCCTCGGCGAATGGCAACGGTGGCTGCACTCCCCTGTCCAGGAAGCGCCCCCTTGGGGAGTCCAAGCAGAATCAGCAGAATCAGCAAAACCAGCAACAAAAGCCGCTGCCCGCCGCCAAGAGGAGCAAGTCCGCGCTGAAGAAACTGCAGGCCGAGAAGACGCCAAAGACGACGCCCCAAAGGGGCTTGACCAAGGTGCAGCGGCAGGTGGAGCAGCGGCTTGTGCCAGAGCAGGAGCACCAGGGATCGGGGATGTTGGTGGCGGCAGTGGGAGGAACGCCCGGCCGGAAGGGCCTGCCCCTGCCGCAGGCCGTGGCGCGAAGGAATGCCCGGGAGCGAAACCGCGTCAAGCAGGTGAACAACGGATTCGCCCTGCTCCGCGAGAAGATACCCGAGGAGGTGTCCGAGGCCTTCGAGGCCCAGGGCGCCGGGCGGGGGGCCAGCAAGAAGCTGTCCAAGGTGGAGACCCTGCGCATGGCCGTGGAGTATATCCGGAGTCTGGAGAAGCTGCTGGGCTTCGATTTCCCGCCGCTGGGACGCTGCGCCAACAGCTCCGGCTCCGGCGACGACAGCTTCATGTTCATCAAGGACGAGTTCGATGGCTTGGACGAGCACTTTGATGACTCCCTCAGCAACTACGACATGGAGGAGCCCCAGCAGCACCAACCGCCGCAGCAGCAGCAGCAGCTCCGACCTGCCGTGGAGACGGAGCCCAGTCCCTGCTCCGGTTCTGGTTCGGGTTCCGGGTCTAGTATGGATGTGCTGCCCAGCCTGACCACCCTCAATGGGATGCAGTACATCCGGATACCGGGCACCAACACCTACCAGCTGCTCACAGCCGAGCTGCTGGGTGAACTGAGCCAGGAAGCAGGAGCCGGAGTGGCGTCGGTGCCCGTCAGCAGTCCCTGCTCCTCGCCACCTGCCGTCGTGGCCGAGGAGCTGCTTTTCAAGCAGGAATCCCCGCCAGGAATCCCCGTTGCCTACAGCCAGCAGGGACAGCAACAGCAGCCACAGATTCTGGGATCCTCGCCCATTCTACCCGCTTTCTACGACCAGGAGCCGGTCAGCTTCTACGACAACGTGGTGCTGCCCGGCTTCAAGAAGGAGTTCAGCGACATCCTGCAGCACCAGGATCAGGCCGGACCCGGCGCCTCCGGCGGCGGCTGCCTCTCGGATGAGAGCATGATCGATGCCATCGATTGGTGGGAGGCGCACACCCCCAAGTCGGACGGCGGTCCCGTTTCCACTTCCAATCTCACCAACGGCGACACCTCCGCCGTGCTTCTATAAAAGTCAAACTCTTCTTATATATTTAAATTTATATATATTTATATTAATATTTTTTTTTGCAAGCAAACCCAAGCCTTGACCGAGTCATTGTGTAAATGTAAATAGCCGAGATAGATAGAGCGAGAGAATCATCTAGTGAGAATCTTCTTCCTGACCTCCACTGTCCTCCCCCAAATAGTTGACCTAATAAAGAGCTAAATGTTGAGCCAGTCCTAGTTCGTAGTCGTCCTTGTTCCCCCATTAGTAGTGGCAGCTCCTCCGCCTAGTTAAGGTTACAACTTTTTTTTTCATAGACCTAATTGTGCGAATGTTTAATTGATTTAAGGTAATATATACTATATACTATGTACTATATATAAATATATGCAAAGTGCTAAAAAATCAAATCAAAATCATTGTTCATTGGTGTGAAAAGTTCTATCTATTATTATATTTATTTTTGGGGCAAGAAGCCGTAGTTTGTAATTAAATAATTAATCATAACTAAACTTAATATATTTGCATATTTTGATTCGATATTTCAATATTTTTATCCGGAAAATCAAAGTCTAAAAATCTTATAACTAAGTAATAAAATCATTTATTTTAATTCGGGAATCATTCCATGTCAGTTTTCATTAAAATAAACAAATCTGCATAGCCCCCCGACAGGTCTTAATTTAATCAGCCCGATTCTTAAATTTCTCACATTTCACCAGGCAAACATAATCGGCTGGCAGCAGCTCAGCAGCACAACACCAAGCGTTGCTTATAACGGTGTTTTGGCGTTTTCCAGTTTGGTTTCCAGTGATTTACACGGCAAGGGTATTGAGATAATGCCATTTTATAACGGCGCTTTTCAACTTTCCAAATGCAAATAATTGACCAATCAGAGACTTTCTTCAAGTTCCTCTCATCTAAGATCCGTTACTTTGGACTTTGAAATTAATGGCCGCCCTTTGTTTACATCTGATTAGACCAATCAGACACGATCTTTACGTTCCAAACTTTTAAGAACCGTTACTTTGGAGCATTTGCATCAGGGGAATAGCTGCTTGCTGAATGTTCTGTTTGCCTGGTAGGTAAAATCAAGTATTTTAGGAATTTGTATGGGGAGTTCGCTAAATTGGATTTGTTGTTTGTTGTTGGATTTGTTATTTCTTGGAGTTGTCATTGAATTGCTTCGAAATTCCTAGTTTAAATTAGTCTGAAATATGAAAACATAATGCGAAGCCAAGTTCTTGCCAAATTGAAACCATGTAATTAGGCAGCCAATTATTAAGTCTATGCTTTTAATATATTAATATATTTAGATTAAAAGATCTTTATTTAAAACTAGTTTCAAGTTCCCTAATAAAGATTGATCCGATACTGTGTCAGTTGATATTTGTACGGTGCGATAAATAGAAATATAGGAGAATAATTGAAACACTGAGTTTTAAACACATTCTTAATTGGGAAATATACAAATAAATTAAATGATGTATTTCTGAACGATTCTATTAAATGCAATATTTACGATATTTAAAATTTGTATATGTTTTCCCATACCTTACCTTTGATCTCTGATATCCTTACGGTTTTGCACACCATTTATACATACATATGTACATATATAAGAACATATATTGAGTTTCGACTAATGGCTTCCAAACATGCACACTCATCGGTTCGGATCTGATCTGAATAAAAACGAAAAAAATAACCGAAAACAGAGAACTAACAGCAGCAAGCAAGGGAATCGGCGTATCATATTCATTTTCGTAAGCGTCCAAGCATGCAAGGGATAGGATAGAGATCGTATGGTATATGGTATGGTATGGTATATGTTTTATGGATTTGCATACGGGACTGGGAAAGGTCCTGCGAGGCACTCCGCTTCACTGCCTGATATTCAAATAAGCCTCATGTCCGTGTCCTGATAAATACCAGTGCGCCCAAGGGGGAAGAGAGAACGGAAAAACGGAGACGGAAAATACAGGATCACTATGTTATGTATGTAACCCTGTAACGTGGGAATGGAAAAACCGGATCGGAATTATGCTGCTGCAAGTGCCGACCTCCTAATGACAGAACTAATTAAAAATGCAGCAAAGGAGGCAGAGTATTTAGAGATTTAGAAAGGGGTAACCGCAGAGCAAACGGATGACTGAGGTGTCCTGGGTGTCCTTCTCCGACAAATCCTTGATCGATTAGTTCAAATAAAAGTGTTGAAATTTGCATTAAAGGGTTTTGAAAATGGGTATGGAATATTTATGTATATATATATATATTAATTAATTTTATTTTGCATTCATCTCACTCGTCTGTTGATGCTGATAAAGAATATATATATCCTTGACTGCATTACAAAGTTCTAGCCAACATTATGATACATACACTGCAAGGGCATAATAAATATAAAACTAGCAATAATCTCTTGCATTCTTTTATTTCATTCTCTTTTTAATTTTCTAGAATATTTCTTTTCTTTTCATTTAAAAATAGATCCTTAAGATCTAGGTATATAAGCCTAGGTATTGGCATTAAAAGTTGGCAACAAAAAAGAAAATATTGACTCCCATTATTTAGAGGCTCTTTTCTCACCCTCACGCTGGCTTGGCGCTAGAATCTCTTGGCTAATTGTATGCAGGACCTTATTGTCCTGTGCCAACGTGTCTCTTCCCCCTCTCACGTCACCCTCTCTGCCGATTTGGACAGCTGCAAGGAGACAGGACAGAAATGGGAAGAAACCCGAGAAAAACGCGCCAATCCAAAGAGAATAAAAATGATGCAAAATTATCCAAGACGAGGACGATGCGGAAAAAAAATAAATACAATGGGAAAATCAATTGAAAATCGTTTGGCCATTAACAGGAGAGATGGCCTGTGCCAAACGGGATCTGTCGGAAAAGTGCATCTGCGGATCCCAGACGTTGAGTAATACGAGTGTGTCCCTCGACCGATCCTACACACAAAGAAAAAAGGACCACTAAAATGCAATAAGTAATAAATTAAAATAACAGATTGAAACATACATATATATATGTGTATTATGATTAAATCACTAATTTAAGAAATTTCCAAACTTCTGACTAATATTGGAATACCAAGTAGCTGCGTATTTTTAGCAATATAACAATCTCGGTAACAACGTTTTCCTTTCTACTAATTAAAATATAAAACCTCATTCTTTTTTTTCTCCGTGCACCAATGCCTGTCCTTCGGCAGTTTCCCATTTCTTGATCCAGGTGCAAAGGTGCGTTTTCCTACCTTCTTTTTTATTTTCTTCTTTTTGTGGTGGGTGCCCCGTTCTTCGTTAGCAGTGAAAATGTGCTCGACACACCGTTATGATTATTAAATATATATATATATATATAATCCTAATGCGATCGATCGAATTTCGGACTGAAATCCCGTTGCGATTTAGCGGTAGGAAAGGCTTGAGCAGCAGATGAAATCCCCTTTCGCTGGTCTTTGGATCCTTGTCCGGGTTCGGGTTCGGGTTCGGTTTCGCTCTTTGATTCCCTTTCCCGTTATGCCCCTTTGCGGGCACATGTCACTCTCTTGAATATTCATAAATCATTGGGTGTAATAACTCATTATTAGTGCAACGGGACATAACAGAGAGCGTGTGCGCATGCGCATGGGTCGGGGGTTCCCCTGATCCTGATTCTGCTCCCGATCCGATTACCATTATTCAGACACGAACTCAGTCTTCCAGGATACAAATAATATCATCTGGAACTCGACGAGATTTTATCACAAATTTAGGTTACTTATTTTCCGAATTCATTCAAGTTCTTAGTTTTCAAAGGATTCAATCAGTTTATCTTAGTTTCTATACCTTTAAGACTACTCATTCAGCTTACCATAGTTAAGGATTTAAAGGATTTGAGCACATTCTCGAGTGCCTGCAGATTCGCCGATTCAGGATCTTGGGTTCATTCAGGTTTCGTGCTCTGATTCCTAACCCAGTTTTAGAAAGTCCCTTGACCTCAACAAAAGCCGCAGGATCTCTATTTGAACTTAAGCAGTTTTTCTGGTCAGCATTTTAAGAGATTTGTACTTTGATTGTTGTCTGAAGTGGACCCACTTTAGGCCACAATAAAGGCACTTAAGTGTCCGCGTTGTGGCTAAGACGGTTAAGCACTTAATCCTGGACTAGACTCTCTGGGTAACACTTTCTGGAAGCGTAAGACCCCCGCCCCTTGTCCGGAGATGATCCTGCGGCTGACAGACCCGAGTTAATTTCATTCAGGACTCGCGACCTGCTGCCATATTGCGTCCTTGAGTAAAATGAAAACATAATAGCAATTCTCCGGCGAGTGCAGCAGCTCCAAATGAAAGGCATAAGGACGACATGTGTTGGCTGCCTAGGCTTTCCCTAATTGAAAGTGCTCCAACAAGGACTGTCTGCACATGTTTTCCAGGACACCGTCACCGGCTGCCTCCACGAGGGTCCACAACATGCAGTTCCTGAATATATGTATATAGAATAATACCCTGTATTCCCCGTAGCCCTGTGTTTTGACTCCTGGCACTCCAGGGTGGCCACGTGCATCTATTTCTGTTTGTGTCTCAGGACTCCTTTTGGGATCAAGAGCACCAGGCACCATTGAGTCATCATCGATTGTGTGACTCGCACAATTTTGACAGGCTCTGTTGGCCAAAGGCCTGGAGAGATCTCCAGGAAGCCCAGTTCCAGTTTTGCATTGAATTGATTGAGATGTCCTCTCTGTTTGGCCCAACAATACTCCGAGCTCTTTGAACTTGAGCCTGACAATAATGCTGCAAGGTGTGGGGTCCGTTTACTAGAAGGACATCCCGGAAACAGCTCAATAATCAATGCAACAAGGCCTTTTTACAGAGCACTGAAGAGTTTCCCCTAGAAAAATGATTGCCAAATAAAAGTAATTTAACCAACTTAGTAAACATGTTTAAAGTCCCGCAAAAGTCCCTTCTACCTAGCACATGCCAAATAAATGGTAATTCGATGCTCGCCTCTATTGACAAAGAAAACGTCTTATAAAAACCACAAT